CCCGTGTCAGGGTAGGGGTTGGCACGATAAAGAGTCCTCACTGCTCATGGCCCTAAGTGCCGGGTAAAGGCAATCAATCTTCATCATCACTGTCTGCTATTGGAGGTTCCTCATCACTCTCAGAAGTTTCAGTGTTCCCTCGTTTTTTGGCCATCTTTTTTGCAACTTTTTTTTTCTTGTTTTTATTTTCTTAACATTTTTTTCATCTCTCGTTCCTTCTGCTTCCTGACTTTTTTCTCCTCTTTAGCTTTCTTCTTTTTTTCTCTGTTTCTTCCACGCCTCTTTCGCTTTTTGTTCATCGTCTTTTCTTTTCTGTCTCTCAATAAGAATTTTCTCGAAATTTTTCACGGGTTATTGCTTTCATTAGAAGATATGTAAAGTTAGCTACTAGTAACTGGCTATTAGTAGCTGGCTACGACAAGTGAGTAAAGTTGGCCACTAGTAACTGGCTAAAATAGGTGGGTAAAGTTAGCTACTAGTAACTGGCTACTAGTATCTGACTTAAATATGAATGAAGCTAGCTATTAGTAACTAGTTACGACATGTGAGTAAAGCTAGCTACTAGACTAACTGACTTGCAATGTGAGTAAAGGTACGTAACTTCTAGAACTGGCTAAATTACAAATATTAATTTGAAGGAAATAAAATTAATGTATTGAATGCATTTAAAAAAAAATTGAATACAATCTCGTATTTTTGTTTGGCTAGTCAAATTATCTTTCATAGGAATATGATACTTTTAATCTCTACTTGCAGATTAATACTATCATTATGCATTTTAAATTAGTCATATCTTATAAAAACCGTCAGTGTGCCGTTTCTTTTATAAATTTCGAAGACATCTATTCCGTCCGATGATCTGGCACTGAAGTTACCAAGATATCTGTAGTGATATACTCAGCTACTCGTACTTTTTATGTAATATAATGCAAGTTTGGGATAGAAATGTTGATATCATTGAAGAAAATGGATTCTTATTTATCTAACATCTACTTATATTGCTGAAATAAACTTCCTGTTTGGTTCTCCACATCATCTTGCACTGAAGTTGCCAAGATATCTGTAGTGATAACTTTAGCTACTAGCACTTTTAGTGCAATATAATGCAAGTTTGGGATACAAATGTTGACATCATCGAAGTAACTGGGTTCATATATAGTTGATATCTACTAAAATTGCTGATGTAAACTTTCTCTTAGCTTCCCCACATGATCCGGGACTTGAGAAACCAAGAAATCTGTCGCTACTAGTACCTTTTGTGAAATATGATTAATTTTGAGGTAAAATATTGACATCCTTCAAGTAGTTGTGTATTTAGAGAGCTGATATCTACTGATACAGCTAATTAGAAATTTCTTCAAGGTTCTCCACATAAAACATGATTGACGATTTACGTTTATCTTTTGTTATCTTTCCGCCACTAGTATATTTCGTGAGGCATGCGAAAAGTTTGCAATACAAATATTGACATCATTGAAGTGACTGGATTCTAACTAAGCTGATATCTACAAGTATTGCTGATGAAAGCATTCTCTTAACTTCTCCACATGATCTGGCACTGAAGTTTACAAGATATCTGTAGTAATATACTCAGCTACTAGCACTTTTTGTGTAATATAATGCAAGTTTGGGATACAAATGTTGACATCATTGAAGTAACTGAGTTCTTACATGTTTAGGGTTGCATTTTCAACATAATGGCATCTTTACATAAAATGTTTTCAAAGGTACTCTCTTTATGGCTTTAGGGAGTTAAGGGCTGTGCAAATAACGAGCTATTTATCAAGTTCAGATTAAATTTAAGTTCAGTAAATCCCTTAATATAGAGCTAAAACATTTCCCCATTGATTTGTATTATTTTAATTCAATAACTCAAAACTAATGAGGATTTTTCAGTGTCGATATTTACACTGAAACTGTGGAATACCAGCATCTGCCCTGGAAGTGTTCGATATCACATCTTTCCAATGACACTGCCAAGCCTTATGATTTGATTAAAAAGGTTGTTATTGAGGTACAAAATTATTAAATTATTGTCTGAAAATAGATACATCTTAACTAGCTGTCACTTCCAATGTTGAGCGATATTGAACACTCGCCTTCGGAATGTTTCGGGGCATACATGTACTCGTTGCGTATTGCACACTCAGCCTTCTAGAAAACGCCAAGTAGTTTTTCATTATATACTTTTTTTAGCTATAATATAAATAATTAAAAAATATTAATTATTGAACTAATAACATTTTTTAAATACTAGGTATTTTGACAAATAAATCTCCATATTATGCTGACATATTTACTTTTTATTGGCCTTAGATCCACAGGACACATCGCTGAATTTACTTTAGATGTATCAATAAAAATGTTATTTTAGGTACTTAGATTTGTGCGAGTGACTTGTTATCTGTTGTAATGTAACAAAAAAGGGTCCAGCATGGGTGTTCTCATAACCTCGAGGTTAATATCTACTTTGTTTATTCACAATTTTATTTTGAGCAGCCTCTTTTGGGTCGCTTAACATAGCAATCCGTGCTGTATTACTCGGAGGTTGGCGTCAAGAATCTCAGAATGGAACAAAGGTCTTAGTAAATTGGGAAACGGGTGAGTATATTTTAAAATATTTATATAGTACCCCTTTTCTTTTATCACTCTCTCTCTCTCTTAAAATAATACCCTTCTCTCTCGAGATCTTTTTTGCTCTTCAAAAAGATTCAAATTGTAACAATTTACTAAAAAATAATTTTTTTAAAATCCTATTTTTCTCAATTTTAATCCCCCCCCCCAAAAAAAAAGAGAAAAAGCGAGAGGACTTGTAAACCTAAAAGTAAAAAAATAAAATAAAATACTGATTGAATGTTGAACAAAAAAAATTCAAGTCTTTATCTCATACTTGTTTTACTTTTGTTATCTGTAAGAGTTCAATCACTGTTCAAGCATACAAGTAAATCACACCCAATTTTCTCGTTGGCAGAAATGTGATATCAGTCACTAGCCGCTACATTGATGTCAGGTTTATTATTTTAACCCTTCACTGCCGCTGAACACTGTTTAATTAAATTACTAGAAACTGCACCCTGTTAGAAATATCTTGAATTAGCATTTCTCATTCAATAATCATTCCTTAGGTCCTACAGGCTACAGATGTAGCTTGGACCGAGTTCAGTTTTTAAAATTGAGATAGAGAGAACAACCGTTAAGAAACTGAGAACTATTTTGAAAGGAAGAGAAGGCAAAGAGGAAAAAAAACCATGCCCGGAGCGTCCGAGACGTTTTTTAAAGTGTGTGTGTTGTGTGTGTGGGAGATATGCTTTTATTGTGTGACTCTGGAACTATGCTACCCCGCCACAGCATGATACGCCCGTCAAATATTGTTCACCTGTCTTAAACAGTTTAGAGTGCATGAAAAAAATCATGTTAACCTTGATATAAAGATGTCAATGATTTTTCCATTCCTTATAATGTTTGAAGTACATACATCTCCTGTGGAGTAGGTTTTAATTATAACAAATGATACATCATATATTTCTCAAATGGTTGTATTAGAGTTTAACAAGTTACAGCTTTGTTTATTATATATTTCATGATTGATTAACAATGCTACAGCCTAATAAAACATCAAAACAAATTATTCTATTCTAAATTTTAGTCTATAAAATTGTCATCTTAGTGAGACATGACACTCTGCAATTTGTTCTAAAAGATATAAAAAGATATATAAAAATTAAAATAAAAAAATATTAATATACAATATCAAATTAGTTTTAATTACTTTACACCAAATTTATCTTGAAAGTTAGGCTAGCCAAAAGGAACTTTTTAATCCTTGTCCAATTCCCAAGAGATATAGATAACACCTGCTTGATCAGAGATGCTCTACCAGTTATCTCCTCACATTAAACTCATTAATTTCTCTCTAATTTGACATGCAATTTTCTTTTATCAAAATTCTCCTTGACCAGTGCTTGATGATTACACCCATGTGAGAGGTGGAATTTCTCATTGAACATTACATTTGTTATAGGTTGCTTGTAAAGTATATAATGGAAAAAATAAGTATTTTGATTTAAATTTTTTAATAAAGGTACAGCAATACTCTTACATATTTTGAGATAAATGAAGATAACATAAGCAAAACCAAGGATAAAAAATGCAAGAAAGATGACCTGGATGATGGGGTCGCTGAGTCAGTTAAAAACAATTCCACCACAAGTTCTTGTGATCGCGAGATAAATCAAGATATCATTACGGAAAATGAGAACACAGAACACAGAGAAGATGCAATTAACGATGAAACCGAAGATTTGAATATCAATAAGAATAGTACATGTACTAGTCAGGAGAGAATGGAGAATGCAGATAAGCATTCAAATGATGTCAAGCTACTATCCGATGGTAAGAAAAAAGGTGACGTAGAATCCAGTTTGGATACCACTGACGATGATCAAGACTGTTCACCAAATGAGAAAGATTTTGTGTACGAATATCACGACAACAGTTTTAACGAAAACTCTAATGACGACAGCATTGAAGTAAGAAGCATATGCTCGTCAGATAGTGATGTCTATAGTTTTTCCCACTCTTATTAAAAAGGTAGGTACTTCAATGATTCAACTGACAGCGAAAAAGAAGACTCTTTTGAAGAATTCAAAGACAATATTAAAATTAACGAACGAAAGATCGACGACAACGATAACAAAAATACTGTAACGATTTTGACGTACATGTAATGATTTTTGACTGTTTATTATTAAAATGTGTGTTTATCTATTTGTGATTCTTAATTTCTGCCGACCGGAAGATTCCTTCATCATTATTATATGTTTAAAATATTATAAATTTGTTGTACATCATTGTTTTACCTTATTTATAAGAGATTAGATTTTCCATTACTTCCGGTCGCGGGAAATTATGTATAGGTTTTACCTAAAATGTGTCATGATATGGGTTGTGCAACGTCATGTTTGGTTATGCTACGTCACATTAGCGTTAACATTTAGGGGCGCTTTCCATTAAACAGGCAACGCCGGATTTGCCGGTGTTGCCGTCGACGCCGGATAATGGAACGCGCGTTGCCGGCTGGCAATTGCGGTCACGCATTTTACCATTGCCGATTAGGAAACAATATGGCGTCGAGTCATCAAGAAGAGATTTACAGATACTACAAAACGGCGATTTTTCCTAAGATTGGTCATAATATGCTCAATAACAACATCAGTGCATAAAAATTAGTTCTGGAGAACACCTACCGACACATTTCAAGATAAGTATCCGTTTCATAGTTAATTATATATGATTTTTTTAAATTCAACCTGTAAAGTACAACCACCCCGAATTTTCTCCACACATAGAATAAACGGTTGTTTATTTATATCCTTTGGTAAGTAAATGCAAAACGCATGGTAAGTATTCCCACCTTTTTACGTCATATTTGACTGCTTATTGCGTCATATCACCTGTCTGGATTAAGAAGATCTTGTCTTTTACATTTTATCTGTTTGTTGACGATGGCGTCTCTGGAGCTACTGCATTGTTCTGGATGCAACTCGTTATTTCTTTCGTTAGCTCACTTTAATCAACATAACTGTCCAGTAAATTCGCCAGTACAACCCCTTATTCTTAAGGATAACATGGCTACTGTGTATAGGTATTTTACTTTAAAGTCTTGACGAGTTAACATTTTTTTTCACAATAACTGTAAGTACAAAGTAAGTAAAAGTTCACACACTTCAAATGGAAAAGGTATGTTCACATTGTAAATAAAATAATCATAATATATCAAATTAAATTTTAATTATTTTGCATATGTTGTCATTAGTATGCAGATTTTCATTGATGTTTTATTTAAGATATGAAATTTTGTGCAGCAATAAGAATGATAAGAAATAAACACTGCTACGGATAACCAGAATTTAGAAGGTTCAAAATTTTTTAATACCACTCTAGTTTTCAAAATATTTGCAGGGAAGAAGAACCACATCATGGTCAGGGGGCTGCTTGTCAGCCGATGCATAAAGCTGCAACAAGCACTGTGGCAATTGCACATGGTAACTAAGTAAAGAAATCTTTATTCATGTGGGAAGGATTTTGGTGTAATGCCTCAAAATTATTCTTTTAATTTATGATTTAAGAGTCATGTTAATTGACTTAAGGGTACATACCACAAACAAGAATTTGATGCATGGATTGATATATATATATTTTTTTTGACTGATTATGAATGGAAATAACATAAATAATCAATCCCTAAAATATAAAGAAATTGTAAGTTTTCTTTGGTGCTTATACATGTGTAAGCAACTTTGTATCGTTTTCTATGAAACTGTATACAAAATTTTGCAGGTATTTTTGACATTGTGACAAAATCTTACAAAATTCTTCCACTTTACCCAGGGAATATCATTCAGGTTACCTACTGTGGTTTCATCAATATTCGTTGAGCACCAATTTTCGAGGATTTCGTTGTTGGGCAGATCCACGAACTTAAATGTTCATTGATTTACGAAATATATTATTCATTTATATAGGCAATGCTTTTGTCCACGAAATTACGTATCCTCGAAAACATCTGTTTTACAAAATACACGAAAATTGATGCCAACGAAAATTGATGAAACCACAGTATTTGAATATTAATCTATGAGAAATATTGCTGATTTCTGAAAAAAAGTTTGTTTGTGTTATTTGTCCTTAATATACATTGTTTTGCAATTCTAAATAAGTGTTCAGAGAATATATTCTCAATTTATTAAAAAAAAAAGTAACTCATGCCAAAAGTGTGCACAATAATTGATACATGTGTTGTTTACCAATTACTGAATTATAAAATTTTGCCATGTATTCATTATATGAATTCCTAATAATTCAATAATTAATTAACAAACATGTATGCCATTGAAAGATGAATGAAATGATCAGAATAGATTGCATTTTTATTAGATAGCATATAAATTTCTAATAAATATTTTTTGTATCAAAAGGGGAAGAAAATGAAACAACTGTCACAGAAATTTCTCCTGCCACACCTGTGCAAGGTACATCATTTCTTGTTGTACAATCTGTTAGATAAAATTTTGAAAAATGCTTTTGAAATCTGTTTGTACAGAATGAAAACTTAATGGATTCCATATTTAAAAAGAAAACATACAGCTTCCTAAATAAATTGTATATTCCATGCCCCCTGGGACAGAGTTTTAGGCACTAAATTTGGACTCTTCTATTTATATCAGTACATATACTATTAATATGATATTTTCTTTCTCACTGATATCATTGTCCCCTCCCCCCCCCCTTTTCGCTAAAGCAAGGGGACATTAAATCGCATTCGTCTGTCAGCCTGTCTGTCTGTCAGTCAGTCCGTCTGTCTTAAAATCTTTGACCTTGGTCATAACTATTGATAAAAGATAGGGCTTTCATATTACAAATGTATATTACCTGTGGTAAAACTTTTCTAAATATACCGTGATTTTTGACCCAGCTACCTTGACAATGATGTTTGACCTACTTATCAAAATGTTATCTTTTCTTATAATTTTGATTGAGAAGAGATGGAGCTTTCATATTTGACAAGTACACTACTGGTGACAAAAAGTTTCCAAGCACGCTATGATTTTTTGCCCCTTGACCTTGACTATCATGTTTGCCGTAATTTTCAAAAATGTTAACTTTGGTGATTACTTTAGAATGACATATGATAGGGCGTTCATATTTGACACGATATGACATAAATAACAGCATCCCATCTACTAAGACACCGAAAGCGGGGGACCACAATTCTTTGAATTTGCTTGTTGAATTTAATTTTCACGCATTATAAGAGATTATAAAATTGTCTATTTTGTAGAAGAAAAGCAAACGTGGACCAACTGTCTCGCGAAAGGCCTCATCAATTTAAGAGGCGAGTTGGATGCAGAGTTTGCCTCAAAGAAGAAGACCCATAAAGCTCTATGGAAAGAAATTGCAGCCAAATTGAAGGAAGAGTATGGGTTTACTGGTGACTGGCTTCAGTGTCAATCAAAATTCAACAAGCTTACTGCCAAGTATAAGGCAGTAGAGGATGCGAATAAGAAGTCTGGTGAGAGACGGCGGTCCATGGAGTTCTATGAAGAAATGATGGAGGTTATGGGTGATGATCCAAAAATAACGCCATTAAAAACAATATCTGTTGGTGTGGGTAAGGGGTTAAGTATTATTAGTGGTGAGAAGGGGGAGAAAGGGGAGGGGCATGAGAGAGTGAGTGTTAAAGTAGGGTGTGAGAAAGTGAAGAACGTGTCTAAGCGTAAGAGGGAGGATGAGTTAATAGATTTGTTGACTGAGGTGAGGGATGACAGGAGAAAGTTTCAGGAGGAGCAGATGAGAGTGAATGAAAGAAAGCTGGTGCTTATGGAGAAATTAGTGTCTTTGCTTGAAAAATAAGTTTATTGTGTTTTCTGATATCATAGATCAAATAAGTAAATACATGACCCCAAGACCATAAATTGAGAATTGATCAAAGTCAAAATTTTGCTTTTTAATATTTTTAGTTTTATTGAATGTATTTGCTTAAAAATTTTCAATTTTGTCTAACATTTTAATTCAAACATATGTTGAATATTTTGCTTCATTTGTTTCATTATCAAAATTAATTCAAAAGATATATTGGTTTGAAATTTTGACTGAAGTTTATATTCTCGGTTTATGGTCTTTAGACCTGAAGAGAATGTTTATCTCACTTCTTCAAAACAATGCAATTTTGTGTAATATTCAAAAACAAAGACATACTGAAAATTTTGTTATGTTTTCATGCATCAAGAGCCATCCATATTTTTATATTGTACTCTGACCATCATTTTTCAAGGTGTGTTGGTAGATAGTTTTGTTATTGTTTTCTTTTTAAGTTACAAGTACTTTTGATAATTATCTTAAAACTCACACTTTAAATAATTTATTAATGTTCTCATTATGCGAAGGACTGTTATACAGATAATATTTGTGACAGGTTGTACATCAAACAAATCATTTTTTATTGTTCAAGTAGGTACATTAATTTGAAATTTTGACCTTAGTATGTAAGTAGTTTATGGTCTAGAGGCATGTGAGTATTGAAGTTGTTACCCAATAATTACCCATTGTTTATTGATAGTGTAGACAAGTCCATTCAATTTACGTCAACACATGTAAATATTGATGTTAATCTACTATTAGTTGTTCATTGATACATGTATGTATATGCATTCATTGATGATAATTAAGGATTTTTCAACCCAAAAATTGGATTGGATTTAACTTAATAGCTACAATTTCAGGAGGCATCATCCTGATTATGGAAAAGTTTTAATGTAAATGTTACATAAAAAGCTTTTTTCTTAAATTGTAATAAAAAAGGAAACATTTGTAAATTTAGCATTGTTTTCTTTATTTCGTTGAATTTAATATCGGTTGGTAGACCAGAAATACTGGGCTAGGGCATTCCGTTTTACTGATCCACTCTGGTTCAAAGGCTCACTCACAGCTGGAGCATCAGGAAAGATACTGGCATCACTGCACATGTCCAGGTCATTCTCATTGTTCTGTAAAAAAAAAAGAAATCAAGTAAGAGCAAGATTCATTTTTACATGTGTTTCGTATGCCAAAATTCACGATGATTTTTTTTTTCAAAGTTTGGGGGGGGGGGGGTACCTCTATGCACATATTGTGAAGTGTACAGGCTGCTGTTATAACACTTGGGACATCTTCAAGTTTGGTCATTTCCAGGAATCTCAGCCTCCTCCATTTTCCTTTCAACAAACCAAAGGCTCTTTCAATCGTTTGACGAGTGTTGGCATGTATGAAGTTATATCTTTTCTGACACTCTGCCAGATTCCCCGTATCTTTATACGGTGTTAAAACCCAACTGAAATGTAATACAAATAACTTGAACATAAATGATGTACATGGTTTTCAAAAAAGTATAATCTGCCCAATTCTTTAAATAAATGTCAATTTTTATTAACCTTTGCAGTGGATATGCTGCATCTCCAACAATATGTGTATTGCCAGGAAAAAGGTTTTCACTGCAGCTGGCTTCATAAAGGGGTGAATTTTTGAAGACTCTTGCGTCATGTACTGACCCAGGCCATCCGGATAGAATGTCCGTGAACCGTAAAGTATGATCACATACAGCCTAAAAAGTAAATGAATGAATTAAATCACAGGAATCATGGAGGCGATTAAGAAGTGCTGTTGTTTGCCTTATAGTATTTTTAAACCGAATTGTATGTTCACCTGTAATATAACCGAATAGTCCCGTTTCCTGTTCAGATAAGACATGGGATGGTATTTTTCTTGTGGAGCTCTTATCTGTATGTGGCATCCGTCGACAGCCCCTAAAACTCCAGGGAAACCCATGATCTTTTCAAAGCCTTCATTGACTTCATTTGCCCTAGCACCTGTAACGAAATAAATTCCAGGTTGTTTTTTTTTTTTTTTTTACTGAATTATTCAAATGAGATATATATATATATATATATATATATATATATATGAATGAATGCAGATCATGGTATAAAGACGTTATAATTTTTAGATATATTGTATATACTACAGAAAAGAAAGCTGCTTTTTCATTATGTCCCCTAAATAATAATGCCATATTTTTGTGAGGAATTTTTGCTTGGCACCCCCCCCCCCCTTATTAAAAAAATTGAAAGTGAATTAAGCTTATAAATGAACACTTTTTATTACACACACACACACACACACACACACACAAATGCACTAACCAGTAGGCCACTTGATTTTTTCTGCAGACAGGCATTGTAGAGCTGTACAAGTCCGCATGAAGCATCTGTACACAGAAGAATAAGTGACGTTAAATCTGTCACTTATTTGCCTGTACCCTTCCATGTTGGCCAGCATCCATATCGAAATCATTATTTGTTTGGAAGGTTCGATGATTTCTCTGCCATGAACCTGTTCTTTTGGAATGTGGCCTGTTGACAGTATCTGTTGATTCAATAAATAAAGTATACACTTCGATGATATATTGGATAATGTTTGCGCGTACCCCCCCCCCCCTCCACCGTATTTGTACACATAAACCATACACGAATTCCATAACCGGATATTCATTTTTTTTAATAACATATGTACATTTCACTTTTTTAAGGGGGGGGGGGGTTAAATATTTATTCATAATTATAGCGTGTTCAAAACTGAAATGCAGCAATTGAATAATTAAATTTATCAATATACGCCGCCGTGTTCGTGTATAAACTTAAATATAATCAAAGTGTAAATAATCCTCATAAAAATATTCGACTAAACATAACATGATATTGAAAATTTAATTTTAATTCAGTTAATTTAAAATATATGTAGTGCTTGTAATTCTGCTCTTCTATGGTACTCTAAAAGGAGCGCAATTTTAAATATTTTTTTTTTTTTTTTACATAGAAGATTTTGTGAATAGTCCTTAAAATTATAATAACATATCGAACAAAGAATTTACAGAGTTATAAAATTCTAATCTTATTATGAAAAGGTGCATTTTCTTATGTTATTTATTAATAATTTAAAACATACCTGTCTACAGACTTCCTCGAAAGTCTCTCTACGCATTCGAAAATGTGAGGAGAACTCATCTGGGGAGTATGCTGTTACGGTAACGTTAAAATATTCAGCAATACGCTGTCGGCTTCTTTTTTCTGTCAATAAACGACGAATAACATCTGGCGTAACATCGTCGTCACAATCATTCATGTCACTGTCTTCAAATACTTGAAGCAGAAATATTTTTAATATGCGAGTGCTTCGTTTTAATTCGTAGTCCTCCATATTTGGTAATTGTGACGTTACCAACCGTTCCATTAACGCCACCGTTTCCAGATGACGTCGCCGGGAAGGCAACGTTAATGGAAAGCGCCCTTAGTTTTGTAGTTCAGTTGAAGTTTTGGGATTCTAGAGAACAAATGTAAAAATGTTTACAGTTACTTTTGTCCAAACCAGACTTGTGGATTTTTTTTTATTCAATCTTTAGTCGTTCCCAGACTATCTTTGGAATCTCGAGATAAATATATAATTGAAATTTATATTATTTATTTATTATTTATGAAATTGGATATTAGAAATTAACTTTTTCCGAATTTCGGGGGTCTTGTAACTAGCAAGTGACGTTGTGCGACCATATATAGAAATATATATTGTTGTTGCTTTTGTTATCTATAATAAAATTTTTAATATCAGAATATAATTTTTGAAAACTTTATTATCTTTTGTTGGTTTCTTTCGTAAAAAATCGCTACCAGGTTATTCATAATTATATTCGCTACCAGAAATTAAGAGACCCGATTTTAGCCACAACCAGGCTTTTTAAAACCATATCATATTTAGCCACATTTATCCTATCTTAAGAACTCATTACGGCGAAAACGTTACAATACTATTGATGGGGAGAAGGAAAATTTTTACATTTATCATTCCTCTTTCTGAATGGGTAAAATTTCCCTTTGTAGACAAAGACCCTTATAGACGCCTTGATGGGAATTGGTCAGATGTATGTTCAAGGCATTTTAACAAAGTCCAACCAACATGTGATGTAATAAGTAATAAGTAATAAGGCCGCTCAATACGGCTCATTTTCAGCCAATTGTAAGCACAAAATGTGTTCAGCAGTTTACAAAATGACAATCAGCAATGAACCCGACGGAAAATCAGCAGTAGAGGTAAATGTTAGCCGAACAGGAAAAATGTCAGAGAGGAACGAAGAGAAATCGAGATTTGTGAAAGACCAGAGACGAAGTCTCGTGAAACAAGAGTTGACGACTAATCTCCATACATGTACGGGTCCGAACTTTTACTCGAAGCAGACACGAAACAACTTAATGCCGGTAATTTTACAACAGTTCCAACAAAAGATGTTCTGAAACAGATAAGAGCGGAGGAAAGACAATACGAAAAATTGAGTGACTGCGTAATAAGAGAAATTTATGCCGTGAATAAAACATTCAAAATTTTGGATACAACAGTTAAATCAGTAAATGGATACATTCAGTTTATCAGATTTGAACCGTTTTTTTAATAATGTTGCGCCTTCCAACTCGGGAAAGAGTGGGGCAACTTTGTGGGTTTTCCACTCCCGTACGTCAACTTTATTTAGAATAAATAATTAAGTCAGGATAAAAGTTCAACAAATAAAATTTATTTACACTATGTACAATTTGATATGACTATTGTAATAATAAAATCACAATATCTGACACCTTAAAAATATGTCACTCCCACAATACGTATGAATGATCTAAATCTCCCAAAATAATTATAAAAACTAGCTACTTGTACTGAAAATATATATTCTGTTGATACTTAATTTATAAGCCTTTTATACTGTTATTAATAAAATGTAACTCCCATAGATTCTCCCATACTTTTTCACGTCGATGGGTCTCCCAACTCTACTTATGGGCCTCCCACAGGGGTATCTCAGCGCCTATCTTCTCTTTATATAATTTAACTAAGTGTAAAATAATTACCCATCTGCTTTGCATAGGCATCCCTAGTAAAAGGGTGTATATGGGAGATGCTCTCGGTTTCTGACTTCCCAATTTCTCTCCCCCCTTTCTCCTCCTAGCAGACGAATTTTCGGCTCTTTATATACTCTTGTACCATAGGACTGGCGGTAAATATAGATTTTGCTTTGATGTTGCTGAGGTGTATTTGCCAGAAGAATCACAGTTTTTTAAGTCACGCCCACCTTTTGGCATCAAGCCATACTGTGTCAAGACTTTGACTGATGAATGAATGATGTCAATTTCAAGACCTTGGCAATGGCTGAAGTCAACATTTTTAATTTCAAAAATACTAACATTAGCTTGTCGAAGTTCGCTTCATAAATGGTTCTGTATGTTTTTTCCGCGTATCCTTAATCAGTAAATGATACGTCTAACTCGAATTTTCGTCATTCTCTTTCCCGTCTCCAAATACATAATAGCAATTTCACATCAGAAGTCCCCGCGTTTTTTTTTTTTTTTACTTCCAATACCATTTAAAACTTTCATTAAAATGTCACAAATTATTTCATTTTTCTCTACGCCGATTGCCATAAAGAAAAAGTTCAATGGAGATGTTTCCCATACCCATCCCCCCTTTTTCACATTAAAAAAAAAAAAAAAAAAAAAAAAAAAATCTAGAAAGATAAATTTTCTTTCAGAGTTAACAGCTTGAATATAAAAGCCTACAATCGCTACCCCTATACCTGTACCTGACAAAAATCATGTTTTCTGCGTCTTCAACATTTCAAAGGTACAATATCTTCACACGTACCAATTCCGAATTTTTTATCAACTGGCAGTAGCAGTGCCGCAATTAAGTATGATCCTTGCAGATGGAGACAGCCATTTATACAGACTTGACACCTCGTGGTAGGCGGTGCTAATTATTAACTCGCTTTTCTCTCATTGGTCCTCTGGTACAAGTAACTTACACAATAGATATTAATTGGTTAGCTGTAAATACACTCACAGTTTTTATTCACTCGGGGCTCCGCCCCTCGTGAATGAAAAACTGTGAGTGTATTTACAGCTAACCAATTAATATCTATAGTGTAACTATAACTTACAGTACCCACTGGTTACCTCAATTAACCAATCGCTGACCGGAAACTACACTACGTCACTTCCGGAATAAACAAGTCAGGGAAAGTGCAGGCAGTGAAGTTTTCTAATGTAGAATCATTAATAATCGTAAAAAATGGGATTTTATATTCCAAAATGTGATAAGTACAGGTCGCTATTACTTTAAGTTGATATAAACAATGACAATGAAATGTTCTAAGATGAAACGTGATAAATGACATCAAACACGCTATCGAGATCGAGACCGGGTCGAAATACAGTGAACCCGACTCCAAAACAATAATATACGATTGACAGCATATAATCAATATCTTACAACCATTTACCGATTATTTAATAACAAACATAGCGTGTGTTATATGTTTCTATACATATTTATCTGATGAAAACAACGGCTGGATAGTACAATATGTATGCGCTG